TTAGATAGGTTCCACTGAAACCGGGTGAACGATACAATTAAAAACCAAACGTGTCACACACTGGCTGACGTCTTTTAAGAAATCTAAAAATGCCCGACGGAAGAAGTGGCTGACAGAAAAACTGCTTGGTTTCACTAGAGATTCTCTGCTGACCAGCACTCGGTCACCCAGTAACCCAGTAGGGGGTTACAGTGATCGCCGTCGAATGCATAAAAATACATTCGCGCTGTGTACACGTTTTAGACAGGGATAGAATTGGGTCAGGAATCCATTTTAAGCTGCAGTAAAATGTAGGACTTATTGCTTAAAAGTCCAGCATGCAACCGGATGCCGATAAAATGCACCATAGTACACCATCTACTTCTATGATGAGTGGTTTTTCCCAACAGCCCAGAAGTGTCGCTCAGGTTAACGAAAGAGTATATGATCCATTTCTGAAAACCTCGTTTCCATCAGCGGGATCCCAACCCATGACAGCAAAGACAGGGCTTGAGTACAGCCTATAACTTTTTCTCAGAGCCAACCACTGCCTGACAGTTCAGGCACCGGCCATATGGCCTACATGTATTTGGAGAACAAAATTTCTGTCAGTCTGCATCCATCTCACCCGACGCTACTTCTAAGGTCCACCTTTGTTGTAAAGCAGCTGGGTTCTACCGGATAACAAACCCTAGACATTCTTTTGCTTTGGTAGACAAATTCTAACAAATAAAAGCTCTCTCTCCAAAGAAGAGTCGCTCAAACCCTCTAGACGCAACCGACATTTGTGAAACTAATGATTACAATTCAGAATATCCATTTCGAAACAAGATATAAAAATAGGATAATGCTTCCAGCGTTTGTGCAAATCCGGCACTTTACAATTTCTGACGAATTTGACAAACGTTTAAGTTCTGACAATTAGGGTCCTGCGTTCAGAGACTCAAAAAGTCCACTGCACCGATAACACTCTGGTAGTTTATAAGAGCTCTTGCAATGACAGGCACGTGTGCATGAAACGTTTTTATTTTTTTCCAGTTGAAATTTGAAGGAAACTACACTAAGAAAGATTCCTTACTGTATGTGAACTGGATGCTTGTTGAGGCCTAGAGACTAAGGTGGTTCTTTCAGGGAGTTTTTTTCGGTTATTTAGCTATATCAATACAAAAACAGTCAAAATAGGCGCGGTTTGCTTGTCGCCGCTGCCCTGGTCTCCGGAAGCCAGAAGGACTCATTAATTGTTACGTGCTAGTTTTCTTCATGAGTAAAGCGTCATAAGTGCTCAAAAGTGGCAGTGTTTTCCAAAACTAAGTAGAAATTCTATTTTTTACTTGTGCTAGTGAATTATTCATCAAGACCACTAAATTTATTACGCCATAAGTCTACTCCAAAGTTTAAGGAAGTATTTTTTTTAAAAAAAACATGACTATTATGAAGCGTT